TGGCTCTCCACCATGCTCTGCTTTCTTCATTCAACAAACTTTTTTCTAGCAGTGTTGACTTTTTTTTTTTTTAATTTCTTTTATTCATATGTGCATACAATGTTTGGGTCATTTCTCCCCCCTTCCCCCCCACCCCCTCCCTTTCCCCACCCCCTCTCTCTACCCCCCTACCCCCTAGCCACCAGGCAGAAACTATTCTGCCCTTATCTCTAATTTTGTTGAAGAGAGAGTATAAGCAATAATAGGGAGGAACAAGGGTTTTTAGCAGTCTTCTCTTGCACTAAGCAATGCATTTACAAAATTGTTACGAAATTGTTCTGGCCTCCATGTGATCACAGTCTGCTTGGGATGGCAGGCATTGAAAGTAGTAATGATAATTCGTTGTTAGCAGTGTTGCCTATAATTCAAGGCAAGAGCCCAGTGCTGTGAAAGTACACAGCAGGGTGCAATCTATCCAGGCTCAAAGGGTCTATGAAGGCAGAGGGGAGGCAACTGTCTTTGATAGAAATGCTGAAGGCTGGGTAGATGCACTTAAGGAAAAAGGAGGGCAAAGGCCCCTCAGGCAGAGGACCCCTTTGAGTGATGGCCTAGAATGTGAAAGGACAGGGCTCAATGGGGAAGAGGAATTAGGCTGGTTCCAGAGCTCTGCCCGGTGGGGGAGTGTAAGGAGCTGGGAGGTGAGGCTGGGAAGGTGGAATGGGCCACAAAGGCCCCGCAGGCTCTCTGAAAGCCTTTGTGAAAAGAGAGGGAGAGCAGGTTGTCATTCCTATTGAGCTGGGGACTGGCTTTTTGTCCCTAGCCTAGGCCCAGCTTTTTTGATCCCCAGCAATGCCATTGTTTCCCCAGAAATGGCCTCTCTGCTTCACAGGCGAAAATGCGGGCTTTGTTCAGAGAGTTTTATCCAAGTCTTGCCCTGGTGAGGACAGGCTGGGAGGGGCTTCGTGGAGGATCCAGTCCCTGGCAGCTGAGGGACAAGGGCAGCCCCTGTCTCCTTTTTCCTCCCCCTGCCTTGCGTGGGCTGCACAAAGCTCTCTGTACAAACCAGGCTGTGTTGAGGGTGGAAAGGGAAATTATGGGCAAACAGATTCAGCTTCTTTATCTTGGAAAAATTGCTTTTGTTAACATTGCTAGCCTGATCATAATATAAATCAAATGAAGGAAGGCTTAGTGAAAATCTTGGTTCGACTGTTAGCTCAAGCACTAGCTGTCTGCATTACCTTGGGGAAGACATTTTGCTTCAGAATCTTCCCAAAGGGACAAAGCCCTTAAGAATTGCCTACTTTGCAAAATCCAGAAAGTGATAATATTTATCCCACATTAGTCATTCATCTACTCATTCCTTCATTCAATAATCAAATAGATGCTTAAGAATTATGCTTCCCCTTTGTGTCAGGCACAGTGACAGATGCTAAACTGGATTGTGTGCTGTCCCCACTCCTAACCCAAGGCTTACCAAAAAAGAGGACATTAAATACATACTTGGGGCCTGGGGGTGTAGCTCAGTGGTAGAGCACTTACCTAGCACACAAACTATCCTTGGTTTGGTGCCCAACAACAACAAAAAATATGTATATATACATACTTGCAACCATGTACTGAAAGAAGGAATGCAGACTACATGTCACAGGGCTTCACAGAGTCTTGGGGTGGGGCTCATGAAAGGGTCTCCCAGAAAGGCAGTGCTCTTACTGTGGTTTGGAAAGACATGTCAAAAGAGCTGGTGAGTGGGAGAAGGTCTGCAAATATTAGCTCCTTCCCCTCTGCCCTGGACAGATCCTTCACCAACACTCGCTGGGTATGAGTGGGGTTGACAAACACCTTCCCTCCTCCAGGGACCTTTGCTGAAAAGAAGTGGATGCTGGGGACTAGATTCCAGGGACCTGGAAATTTGAAGACACATAAGGGGAGGAACATGAGGCCAGCTGTGCCATTTTCTGTGTCTTAATGAGAAGTGTTGGAGCTGTGCTATTCTGTGCTGAACTCTTGGCCCAGCTCACAAGTCCTGAGGAGGAGGGGGAGAAGGAGGAGGAGGAGGAGGAGGAAGAAGAAGAAGAGGAGTGGCTTAGCAGACTTCAGTGCTTTATGTTAAGGGCAAAACAAATACGTCTGTGGTGGGGCAGGGGGTTGGCAGAAGTGAGAGGATGAAGGATAGCATTTCCCAGAGTGTCAGGGGGCCAAGGCAGCCTCTTTCTCTCAAGCAAGAGCATCTTTAGAGCAGAGCTGACTCTCAATGTCCCCAAGTCCAGACAGGTGGGAGGAGCTGTTCTGAGCATTATGGGCTGCATCTTTACACATGTTGAGCACCGTCTATGGACCAGCGACAGTTTACAGAAGGTATATGTGGAAACCTTATCTGATGAGGATTATTTTACTCCCACTTTGCTGATGAGAAAGCAAATGCTCAGAGAAGTGACTTGCCTGAGTTCACACAGCCAATAAGGGATGATGGAAGGATCTATATCCAGCCTTGAATGACTTAAATCCATATTCTTCCTACTATAAACTGCGGGCAGATAAGTTTTTGATAACATTTTCCTCTGAATTTTCCACATGCAATAATAATATGAATCCCTCTTGTGTACTATGTTTTACAAAGAACTCTTGCAAATGCCATTTCACGGAGTCTTCATAGAACCTACCCTGTGAGATAGAGTATGAGGAAGCTCAACACAGCTGGTGGGTCCCTTACTGCCACACTGCAAGGACATCAGGCAACTGCACTCTCCCTGATTGTCTTGAGACCCAGGTAAGCTCTTTAAGTATCCACTGATCTTCTGAATGTTGCAATCAATATCCCGAGCACAAACAGCTTGCTTTTCTAACAAGTGCAGCCTTCCCTTTGTTTTTGACTTTTGATAAAGCAGCAGCTCAAATCCCCTTTCCTGAGGCCCTTCCTTCTGAAAAGGGTGGCTGGCTATGTGGATTTTTCATTGGAGATCCCACAAAGAATGTGCATATAATATGAAACATGTGTGGTGATTTGCTGACATGCCCCCACCCTGTGCCTTTCCCTATACAGCTGAGAGTGCCTTCTGCAGGCACCCTGTGCAGAGGCTGGAGTCAGGCATGCACCCCTAGAGAGGTTCCCACCCCATAGCCTGCCTCTTGCAGGCAGAGCTGGACATTGAGCTCCCTCTGCTCTTGTCTCACTTCTTTTTTGGAGACTTTGTCCCACTGTCTTTCCATTCTTGGTAGAGGATGAAGGAGTCCATCCTCGAGTTCAGGTGTGTCAGAAGTGAAGCCTGAAACCTACTAGCATGTGTTCCATATGTATACGTGTGATAAATTAAAGAATGATAATGGAAACCCATCCTGCCTCCCAGCTCTGCATAGCAGGTGCACTATAATATTTGCTGCAGAAAAGAATAAGTACCCCATGATGGAGGGGCTTCATAATATGTGTGCTTCTGGAGAATTCTGGTACTAAAGGAAGCAGGTTGCTACTTATCCTTCCCACTCTTAGGAGATAGAATTGTCTGACACAATGTTCTGTGAAGTTGAGCGTGTGTTAGTGTCATCTGGGAGGTTTGTACAAGCACAGACTGATGGCTCCCACCCCCAGTTTTCTAATTCCAGTGGGTCAGGTGTGGGGCTAGAAAATTCACATCTTTGCAATTTCCTGGTGATGTGACGCTACTGGTTCAGGGCCACTTTTGGGAACCATCAGTCTGCAGTAAGAAGGATGGAAGAGTGGGTGACTGCTCCTGAGAAGAGAGGGTAAGACATGAGTTTGTACTGTGCTCAGAGTCATCTTTCTAAAACTCAAACTTGGAGACCTGATTAACAAACTCCAAAGTCTCATGGCTTCCATTCACTTCAGGATCAACACTCAACTGTCTTTCCTTGCACACAGGCGCTTCTTAGTCAACCTCTATCCTCATACCTTCATCTCAAGTCCTTGGCCTCCACTCCCCTCCTGGACTCCATACCCTCCCACACAGAGCTTCTCATCCTTCCTCTGGTGTGGGGACCCTTTTCTTATTTCTCTGTCATTGTGAATGCTGCAAGTCTTCAACTTTGTTGACCCCAGTCCTCTTTCCTTAGCTTGGAAGATGCCTCCTTTTCTTTAAGGATTCATCAACTACTATCTTCTCTGAGAAGCTCTCCTTGACACTCCTTGATGAAGTTTTTGCTTCCTTCCCTCTACTCGTACAGCCATGGGTTTTTATCTCTATTCATGGCCTCATCCTGTGACACTGAAGATGCTGTTTGTTTTCTGTAGCCTGGGATCTTCTTGAGTGGCAATTTTAGTCTTAGATATCACTCCACCACAGGATATGGCTTGGTGCCTGATTCATAACAGCACTGGATAAATGCCGTGGATGATGTTGCTTGATGGTGATCCCTGTTGGGCATCTGTTAGGTGCTGGTGAAGCAGAGAAGGGTGGGATAATCCATGGTAGGTCATTCATGCACAGGCCCCATGTTCACGGGTGAGGTGGGGGGGTATATAACTCTGGAAAACAAGGGAGGCAAGCCTTGGTTCTTATGAAATTCATTGACAGAGGGAGAGAAAGGCATACACTGGTTAATTTCAACAATGATAAGAGCCATAACAGGGGACCAGGGTGCAAAAGGAACTCACAGCAGTGAGACCCAATCTGAGTGGGGTTGGAAGCAAGCGTTGAAGAGGCGATATCTAAAGTGAGGCCTGAAGGACACAAACAGAGAAGGTGGGCCAAAGCATGGCACATTTGGGGAACTGAAATAGTCATGGTAGAGTGCTCAGTCCAGGTGGCCTTGACTGGGGCATCAAAGTGAGGCCACATTTGCAACAGGTGGGGGTGGGGCACAGGCAAGGCCCTCTGAGAGTGGTGGTACAGGGGAAGTGGAAAGCCAGATGGTCCTTGCTGAGTGAGGTGAGAAAGCAACAGAACAGGAAAAAGTAGTAGAAGTAAGAGAGTGATGACTACGGCCTAGTCTAAAGACTTCTTGAGGGCCTACGATCAGTAGAGACTACTGTCCTCAGGAGAAGGTTTTTGGAAGTATAGTTGTCAAGGATGGGGAGGAACTGGGACAGAAAGGAAGAGGGGGAGCTGTGGGTGAAGGGGAACCCAAGGGAAGACACAGAAGCAGTGCAGGGCCAGCGGCCTGAAGTAGGGGACCTGCCTGCTGGAGCTACACAAATAGCAGCATCTGTCCTCACCACGCAACCTGCATTCCACCCTCCCTCAAACCCTGCAAGTCCTTGCACACAACTCAACACAGCCCTAAAAGCCATGGTCACCTCCTCATTTTCCGGAAGTGGAAACGAGCATGGTCAGTCACGGGAATTACAGAGGGAGGTCATAGAGCCCACATGGTCAGGAGGTTTGTTCTCCAGTGAGGGTAACCCTTCCCTTGCTTTAAAAGCTCTCTGTCAACTGCTTTTCCTGGGATGAACAATGCAGTTTACTCCTTGGCAGGCACCATGGTTTCTCTCTCACCTGGTTTTTTCCAGTTAGCACTTAAAACACCATCAACACGGAAACCACTCTTACCCTCCTTACTGAGTCACTTGTGAGTGGGAGTCTTGTCACCTGGCAGCTGTGGGACTTTGGGAGGACCATGCTGGGCATGTTTGCACAGATCTCATTTAGTCCTTGCAGCCAATGGTCCAACGCATTGAGAGGTGGGAACAAGAAGCTCAGTGGGCTGAGTTCACATTACCAGAATCCAATCCCAGATCTATTCGAATTCAAAGGAGAATAAACAATACCAGTTGGCAGGAAAAGCTTAGAAACCAGAGCCTCTACCTGAAGGTCAGTGTTCTGTGGGAAAATATTTCTGGAACATGATATGCTTTTTCTGGGTTGTTACCTGCCTGCTGATCTCCTTCTTATGTGCCTACCACCTTCCCCACAGCCTGTGTTCATCTTTTAAGCATCCAGACCATGCTGTCAAGGGTCTCTGCCTAGGTTAAGTGCTCCTCTTCCAACCACCCATTTATTTGTACATATCCTTAACACAGAATTTAGCACAGTCTCTTAACTGATATTTTCTCAGATGCTCTCCTCAGTCATAGATTAAGGCATGTGCCTTGCACAGTGTTCTGAACAGAAGGTATCTCGGCAGACTTTTGTAGACTGAGTGAGCAAATGAAAGAATGTAAACGAGGGTTCACTTCATCACAGTTGGTCTGGTAGTGTCACCTTCCACATTAGCCCTAAGGAGATTGAGATGAAATGACATGGCCAAGATCCCATAGGTAGCCAGATGAAAGCCAGACAAACAAAAAATGAGCAGCAACTAACCACTATTCTCTGTCCCACAACACTTTTCAGTTATCAACTCCCTAGACCTTTTATCCAGAACTCATGTTGCTCTCTGTAGATCAGTCCCAGAAGAGTGTCAGTCTTCTAACTGCCTGTCCAAACCACTCTATTTTTACTTACTAATTTAAATGAGTGGGAGTTGAATATGCACATTAAAATATACCTCCCAGCTTCCTTAGCAGCAAGGTGTGGCACTGGGACCAAGTTCTGGCCAATGAAATAGATATAAGGAAAAGTTTTAAGTGAAGATCCTCAAGGAGAAGAGGGAAAGGGCGGAAGAGAGGACACATACAAGTTCAAATTTTTCTTTTTTCTTCTTTCTCCCTTCCCTCTTTTCTTTCTTTCTTTCTTTTAAACTGCATAATGTGACACAATGACAGAGTGGCAAATGAGATAACCTTGAGGGTGGGTGTGTGCTAAAGGTGGAGGAGCAGAAAGATAAAAGGAACTCAGCTTCCCGAGACCATGAAGTCCCTGGCTTGCTCACTTCTAGAGGGAAGTGACTTCTATCTTAAGTTACTCTTAAGAGGATACAGGGAGCAAGTGATCATGAGCTCTGAGCCTGGCACGCTAGGCTATTTTTAGAAATACCATCCAGAAAGCTGCCAGAGGTGCAGCTTGGCTGAGGGGGCATCCTGCAGGTCAGAAAATGACTTACAGTGGTACAGTTCTTCATTCATTCAGCTGCACCATCTACTCCCCTCCCCCAGTAGGAAGAGGTGGCCCTGAGAGACAGGGTGGAGGTGGGGCTGGGGAGGGTTTAGTCTCTCAGTTCCTCCCAAGAAAGACTAGAACGTGAGGTTGAGCTCAGTTCATTGTACTTTGAAACTTGAATGAATATTTGAGAACCCAGAGTCCATGTTACACACTGATGCCAAAAACCATTTCCACATTCTTTCTTATCAGAACACTGATTATGTTGCTCATGGTGGTAATTCCTTTTCTTTTGCCCTGATTTGTTTAGACATGTGGCCACTCTCTTGCTATTGCCACCCTCTTCACCTTGAAATGCAGTAGCACAGCTGGGAAGGTTAAACTTGTTCTTTTCATAAGAGAGGCCCAAGACAAACACTCTCTTGTCTGTGGGCATTACTGAGTGAGGAGTCTTTTTTTTTTTAATTTTATGTTATCGTTTTTACATTTACTCACATGTGTATACATTGTTTGGGCCACCTTCCCACTCTGCTTCCTGGCAGAACCCATTCTGCCTTCTTGTTCTTCAATTTTGTTGAACGGAAAACCTAAGAGATAATGAGGAAGACAGGGTTTTTGCTAGTTTGAGATTCCTAGTGTTGCTTCCATGTACTTCTGTATAGCAACCCACATTGATTCATTTCTGCCAGACCTCTTTGCTACTTCCTGGTCCCCTTCCTAGTGGCCCCTGCTAGTTTAAGATTACTATATTTGCTCCTCTACAGTGAGCACATCAACCACATTCAAGTTTTAGGTTTCCTTCCTTTTCCCTATTCCTCCCATGCACGTTGTCCCTGTTTAGTGTATGACCCATGTCCAATAATATTACTGCATTTTTTTAGGTCTATAATCTGCATATGAGGGAGAATATGCAATTTCTGGCTTTCTGAGCCTGGCTAACTTTGCTTAAGATGATGTTCTCCAGCTCCATCCATTTACTTGCATATGACAAAATTTCATTCTTCTTTGTGGCTGAGTAAAATTCCATTATGTATAAATACCATATTTTCTTAATTCATTCATTAGTAATGGGGCATCTTGGCTGTTTCCATAGCTTGGCTATTGTGAATAGAGCTGCAATAAACTTGGGTGTGCAGGTGCCTTTGTAATAATCTGAGTCACATTCCTTCTGGAATATCCCTAGGAATGGTATTGCTGGATCATATGGCAGATCTTTGTTTAGGTTTTTAAGAAGCCTTCATATTGTTTTCCAAAGTGATTATACTGGCTTGCATTCCTACTAGCATTGTATAAGGGTTCCTTTTTCCTTGCATCCTTGCCAACATTTGTTGGTGTGGTGTTTTTGACGACAGCTACTCTAACAGAAGTGAGGTGGAATCTTAGTGTGAATTTGATTTGCATTCCCTTTATGGCCAGGGATGGTGAGCATTTTTTCATGTGTTTTCTGGCCATTTGGACTTCTTCCTTTGAAAATGTTCTGTTTAGTTCAGTTGTCCACTTCTTTATTGGTTCATTATTTTTTGGGGAGTTTAGTTTTTGAGCTCCCTGTATATTCTGGTTATCAGTCCTTTGATGTATAGCTAGCAAATATTTTCTACCACTCTCTGGGTGGTCTCTCCAATTTAAAGATCATTTCTTTTGTTGTGCAGAAGCTTTTTATTTCACAAAGTCCCATTTGACCATCCTTTCTCTTAATTGTTGGGCTGCTGAAGTTCTACTGAGGAAATCCTTGCCTATACCTATTGTTTCCAGGGTTTTCTCTGCTCTTTCGTGTACTAACTGCAAGGTTTTGGATCTGATATTAAGGTCCTTAATTCACTTTGAGTTAATGTTAGTACAGGGTGACAAGCAGGGATCTAGTTTCAGTTTTCTGCAGGCAGATAACCACTTTTTCCAGCAACATTTGTTGAAGAGGCTGTCTTTTCTCCATCATATGTTTTTAGCGCCTTCGTCAAAAATAAGGTGGTCGTAGCTGTCTGGCCAGACAGCTACCATTCCATTGGTCTTCACATTTGTTTTTGTGCCCGTACCATGCTGTTTTTATTGCCATGGCTCTGTAGTATAGTTTGAAGTCAGGTATTGTGATACCTCCAGCATTGCTCATTTTGCTGAGTATTGCCTTGGCTATTCATGGTCTTTTGTATTTCCAAATGCACTTTAGGGTAGATTTTTCAATCTCTGTGATGAAAGTCATTGGGATTTTGATGGGAATTGCATTAAACATGTAGTATAGCCATTTTTACTATGTTGATTCTTCCAATCCATGGACATGGGAGATCTTTCCACATTCTGTAGTCCTCCTTGATCTCTTTCTTCAGTAGTTTGTAGTTCTCCTTTGTTAAGTTTATTCCTAGGTATTTGTTTTTTTTGAGGCTATTGTAAATGGAATTGTTTTCCTATATTCTTTCTCAATTTGTTCATTGTTGGTGTATAGAAATGCTACTGAATTTTTAAGTTGATTTTGTATCCTGCTTCATTGCTGAAGCTGTTTATGGTATCTAGGAGTTTTTAGGTCTTTGAGGTATAGGATAACGTAGTCTATAGATAATGCAAATAGAGATACTTTGACTATTTCTTTATCTGTTTGTATTCCTTGTATTTCTTCTTCTTACCTTATTGCTCTGGCTAGGAATTCCAGGAGACTATGTTAAATAGGAACAGGGAGAGTGGGCATTCTTGTCTAGTTCCTGATTTTAAGGGGAATGGTTTCGGTTTTTCCCCATTAAGTATGATGTTGGCTATAGGTTTGCCATATATAACCTTTATAATGTTGAGGTACATTCCTTCTATTCCTAGTTTTCTTAGCGCTTTTATCGTGAAGTGGTGTTGAATCTTATCAAAGGCTTTTTCTGCCTCCATTGAGATAATTAAGTCTTTGCTTCTATTAATGTGCTGTATTACATTTATTGATTTGTGTAGTTGAACCATCCCATCATCCCTGGGATGAAGCTGACTTGGTCATGGTGAATGATCTTTCTTATATGTTGTTGGATTCAGAAAATACTAGTCAAGTGCAGTAGTGAGAAGGGGGGAAGTGTAGAACAAGGAGTTCAAACTGTAACTGATTGTGAACTATCAATTGTGATAACTCACTACTTTCAGCCCAGCCTGAAGAGTCATTTTTGCACTATCAAAAATCATGAAGAATCTGGCTTCTATCCTGACATCCTTGAGACACTGTAATACACAATCTGGCCCCTGCCTGTCTACTTGCTATGGGATATAATAGATGCTGGTTATTTCTTACAACCGTAAACATTCATCCTAACTCTAACCAACTTCCTGTTAGTTTGGGAAAGTAACTTGCCTAAGGTCACACTGTGTGTATTCAGCAGTGACAAGTTAGACTCCTGTTTTCCTATCTCCTCTAATAATGGAAAAAAATCTTTCTTCC